CACACACACACACACACACACACACACACACACACACACACACACACACACACACACTATGAATGTCATATAGAATTTGCCACTTTCTTGTTAAAACATACTTAATGTCTCTCTTTCATTTAGACAGGAGTTCCTTGAGGACAGAGACCATGTTTTTAGGGAGACTGGAATAACTAAAGACCACTGAATTCAGAATTCTGTTCATCTAAGTCAGTGATTCAACAGTGCTGCCTAATTCAACAATACTCCCAGTCTTGGGTCCCAGAGCTACCAGGGCACAAGAGGTCAAAACTATTTTCATAATAGGCTATTTGTCGTTTTCACCCTCATTCTGTCATCAGCATGCAATGAGGTGTTCCAGAGGCTACACTGAGGTGTTCAGAGGCTGAATGCAGAAACAGAAAGTGAAGTTATCTCCTACTAATCCAGACATTAAAGAGACGTAAACTAATTTCACTCATGTCATGAAACTTTTTTTTTGGTTTGCAAAATACTTTTCATAAAAATTCACGTTTTCTGTTACATGATTTTGTTACTTTTAAGTGAATTACTAGACATTAAAAATTTCTTGAGTTTTAACTTAGAATATGGTATGCTCATAGTCAAAACCTACATAAAGAGAAGCTCCCTGAGGTCCTCAATAGGAATGTGGAGGAAAACTGAGGCAAGAAAGTCTGAGAATCACTGGGCTAAATGATTCATTCTTTGTAGGAAAAGGTGTAGCTCAATCAAAGCAATGTATATCTACAGAGAGTCACTAGATGTACTCAGTGTGAGAACACCATCTTTGCTAAGATGTGAAAAGGAAAAAAAAAACACTACAAAGCATAGTGTTGATGGCGACTACAAAAGCAGTTCTGCTTAAATGCACCTTCGAAGAAGTGATCACAGCTTGCTGACTGTATTTTTAAATCATACTTTGAAATATTCAAAATATAGGAGAAAGAGCAAATGATAAGCAGACATTTTCACACAGCAACTTCAACTTTTTTATGACAGACTTTGAGTCTGTATTCAGGGAACATACAGCCATTAATAAATATCTACTATCTGTAAAACACAGGATTAAAATGGTAACAACAGTATTGGGAAAACTGTCTTGTTTACTACCTAGTTCTTTAAAACTCAACAAGTTGACCACATCCAAGACTTCAGTTATGCAAAATAGTTTCTAATCAAGTCTTTTTTTTTAAACCTAACTTACCAAAGTAGTTGTAAAATCAGCAAGGTAAGAGAGCAAAATTTCATCTGCCAATTTACAAGTGAGGACTACGGCAACGATGATGGTGGAAGCTTCCACCGTGCACACATTGCGGGTGGTTTATGCTGGGTGTAACACCAAGTGCACCACTCCCTATTTTACTTAACCCCCGACAATTAGATTCTTCTGTTCACTATTTACAGATGAGAAAAATGAAGTCTAGTGAGATGAAGCAGGTTACAAAGCTAGGAAGGAGGAAGCTGGAAATGGAAACCATGTTTCTGATACCACATCTATGCCTGTAACTGCTACTAGGTTGCTTTCAGCTGCAACATGTTGAATTAAATTTTAATTTAGAACTCATTCAAGTAAATTTCACTTCAGCTCTGTCACTTATAAGCTGATATTGCACGTGACTAGAAATGTAAAGACTGGCTGAAATTATTACTGGCTGAAATTCAGGAGCTTGGTATAGTTTGAGTTTGCAGGAAAAAAAAAACAAAACTTGCTAACTGACTTACCAAACAGAATGCCCACATCATGAGAAATTAATGTTGTAACTTTAATCTTTTCTTACTACTTGTACATAACGACAAATACAATTTTGGAGTTGGAGATGAAAGAACTCACTAGTCAGCGGCTTCATCATCTAAAACGGCCGCCATTCAACCGAGAAGCCGCCACTACTGAGCGTTCAGCACAGCACACTGCGGAACTTAACCTTACTGCATGCGCACGCACCTGCGTAGGCCTGTGCACGTACGGGCTAGTGTGCTCTTTAAAGAAACGGCTCTTCTAATAATGACACTGAACTAGTATCGATTTGCTTGAGAGTAGGAATTTACCTGATAATGAAGTCATCATCACAAAATGAAAGTGTCCTCTCAGTTACAGATATCTATACCTCCACCACAAAAGCTAAACTTAGAGGCAAATCCATGTCTTTTTATGGCTGCTTTGTCTTTACAAGTGCTAAGTGATGTTATAAAAGGAAGCTCGATATTTCACATAGGTTTTAAAAAATTTTCAGAGACCTTGCCATTTACCATTATTTCTGATCATGAGGTCTGTGTCAATTAAATTGCTGTGATGAGAGAATCTTGATATTTCATTTCATTAACTAATGTCACTATGTAGACTTTTCTTCTATTCTGCAGTATTTTAAACAGAATTAGTTTCTAAAAGATCCCAAGAGTATCAAAACTGAGTTACCTTTTTTACACCCATCTGGACAGCTCTCTGTATTATAGCCTCTAAGTCATCTGTAAAAGAGTCGCATATTAAGAAAACCTGGTAAATAAAACTCAGTACTTAACTAGCCCTTCTTGAAATAAAAATACATGGTAACACATTTTAATAAACCAAAGTCAAATCAACACTACCTGATGAATATTTATATAAAAAGAATAGAACCAGTGGTAACTTAAATCCGTATAAAGCAAAGTAGATGGATAGTTGTAAGTTTAATCACATTTTTATCCAACAGGGGTAAGTAAGAAAAATTAGGAGGGTCAAACTAAAGAGGAATTTGCTTACTACTGTTTAAATCACTTGCCCTGATTTTGAAACTTACTGGTATTGCATTTTTTTTTTAAATAGGGCTTTTCAGGGTACAGTGGTAATGCTTCTAAAAGATAGTATTTCTTTGGAATTTTAGTTAATGCTGTAATTTCTATAATTAAATTCATTAATTTTTGTTTTCCTTGACAACTGCTTTTTATTTCCCCCCAAAATTCACTGTTAAGTAATGCTAAACTTTTCTCGGGAGAGCAATACTAATTACTCCGCTCATTAATCCCAAGAAATGGCTGGCACAATGAAACAATTATACCATAAAAATTCATTTATTAATTCATATTTATGTATCACAAAAAATGTGATCAGCATTCAATTACTATTCCTTCTAGAGTAGCTAAAAATTTTTTAGACAATAATTAACCATCTAGTAACCTTACACTAAGTAAGGCAAAGCAGCAGTTTTGCTCAATATTGTGAGTCAGAGGGCTGAAACTGATCACAATGAAATTCCACAAATGTGTATACAAAGAAAGAAATCTATGAAGTGCTACAAAGGCAAGAAAAGCAAAAAGTAAATTCTTTATTTTCAGTAGTTTTACAGTATACATAACACATAAAAACACCATCTAAACTTCTACAGGAAGCTGAAATGGTAAATTTTGAGGTAAGACTTATGAAAGCTTATATTCACCTTTCTTCTTTCTAGTGGCATCTAATACTACATATATTCAGAGTTTTCACTAAGTCTCACCTAGAGATACAGTAAGATTAGCTACTGATTTAGCAGGTTGAAATGTACAATCAAAGCAGAATTTTCTGTTTGTATTTACATAGTAACAAGTATGGTACTTTTCTAAAGCAATATTCACAGGCTTCCTTATTAGCGAAATTCTGCTTTCAAAAACTTGTTACCATCATTTCCTGCTTAGTTACCACAAGGGACAAAAATACCTTTTAAGTGAAGTTGGTATTTTAAGAGTATAAGCTGTTCTCCTTTGGCTAAGCTCGTCAGCGACTGTTGGGGTACTGCTGCCTCTCCCCATACACCCTGGGCCTCGAGGGCAAGACAGGACAGACCTCACCCAGCGCACCCCTGCCTGGTCACACTGCCATTTGTCACCTAGTTGGAAATGTTTTTGAAAAAGTAGATTTTTGAATTCTGTATCCTACTGCTCACCTGCTAAAAACACTAATTAAAACATCAACTTTTGCTGGGCTTTTGTGCAGATGGTTATAAAGTTTTATATTCAGTATTATAAATCTCTACACCCAGGAAAGGCCTAGTTAACACTTTGTAACAGGTGTATAAATGTTCTCTCATAGCTTTATCAATGTAGATTATATGTTTCACTTTGTTTATAGTTTTACCCAAGATGCATAAGTCCATTAATACTTTAATGGAACAGTAGAATATGCTTTTGTGGGCCCTCCCTGGTGGCCCAGCGGGTTAATGCACAGCACTCACTAAGAAGCTAAAGCCACTTCAGCATGAGCTTGATCCCCTTCTTGGAGGTGACTCACATGGCGCAGCAGACTTCGCCTGACCCACCTGCTGCTCCCCTCAGCAGTGTATTTCGTCCCTCAGCCTGTTCTGCTCCCCACTCCCTCTCTGATGAATCCTCTCACCGCCTCTGAACCTCTGGCCTGTACCCCAGTTCTGTATGCATCAATAAATAAAAATCTTTAAAAGAAAATATGCTTTTGTTTTAAAAAGATTTAGATACTTTGTGCATACCAAAATTGGGGTATAGGCCTAAGGTATGGGGTGGTGACAGGATTCACCAGCGACAAAGTGGGGAGCAGAACAGGCAGATCTACTGATGAAGGGGGGAGTGGGCAAGACAGGAGAGCTCTGCTGCACCATGTGGGTCACTCCCTGTCCAGGGACCTAGCTCATGCCTCAGTGGCTGGCAATATCTTGATACCACTGTGATTTAACTCTTGCTTCACCAGGGAGGCTCGGATGATGCCTTTTAAGCTCTTCTTCAGGGACAAAATTTGTCTTCATGGAGAAATTATTTACCTTAAAAAAGGAGACATTTACCTTGATGTTTTTGAATCCCCCTATAAATCCCTCTGAACATAGGATCTGTCAAGTTGATACCAATATCTGTGAAAAGCAAAAGTAAAATAAGTGACTAGTCATTAAACGCCTCTATTTGAAACTATTTTAAATAAAAACTCTTGTTGCTGAAAGAATCATTCACACATTCATTTGCTCAAAGGACATCTAAGAGCCTAATGTCTGCTATACTGTAGATACCAGCTATACAAGGGTGAGTAAGACATAACTCAAGCACTCAGGAAAATAACTGCACACTGGGCAAGGCAGACCCATTAACATACAATCTAGAAATATCACAAGTAGACACTGGCGCTGCGGTACACAGAATAGGAGCTAGAGCTTGCAGGACGCTAAGACTTATAAGGTAGTGAACAGGGTGGATATTCTACATCCGCACATGCTCAGAGCCTGCTCTATCTCCTAGAGCGGAAAGGAAGTCGCTGCTTCTGTGTTGCACTGGCTCACAACTGATTTGTTCTCAATCAATACGAAGGGGTCTGATGGTCTGAAAGTATTCCACCTGTGAGCAAGTTCTAAGAATTACAATGAAGTGGAGAACTGCAGCTATGCAAGGAAACAGGTTTTGGAGTCAGAATTCCTGCACTTCTGAGGTGGCTTTACTCTACCACTAGACCTGAGCAAGTTTTTGCCAACAACTGATTCCTATCCTATCATTTAGCACAGCAGGTGGCGGACACAGAAGAGATTCAGTAAATATTTGCAGTGAGTGAATCACCAGGCTGTCCAAGAGAATGCAAGACAAAAACCAGGAAATAAGCCCCATTAAAAAGCCCAACCAGAAGCACTAACCAGCCTGCTTCAAAGGGACACAGGGCGGGTGAGAGTCCTGTTAAAAGAACACAACTTAGGGCCCTCCCTGGTGGTGCAGCAGGTTAAAGCACAGCACTAAGAAGCTAAAGCCACTTTAGCATGAGTTCCATCCCTGCCCCAGAGGTGATCCATGAGGCATGCCAGACCTCTCCTGACCTGCTCGCTGCTCCCCTCAGCAGTGTACTTCGTCAGTCAGCCTGCTCTGCTTCCCATTCTGTCTCTGGTGAATCCTCTCACCACCCCTGCACCTCTGGCCTGTACTCCAGTTCGGTATGAACAAATAAATAAATCTTAAAAAAAACAAACAAACAAACAAACAAAAAAAAAAACACAACTTAGATAAACCTGAAATAGCTGGACGCCCCAAGAGGAAGTCACTAGTACTGCCCACTGCTGTCTCACAGGCTCACTTCGTGGTGGTGGGGAGGCCACTTGGATCGGAATCGCTTTGCTTTGCTTCTCAAATTAGAGGGTGTGCCAGACAGTCTGAAACACATTCCCTGGATTCTCTCAGGTTTACTTTAGAAGACTTAGAGGGGAGAATATCTTTTCAGTATAAAAGGGCACTACATCATTTCAAAGGTAAACAAAAGACAGCCACACACATCTTGTGAATGCAGGGGACTAACACACCACTGATGACATCCCTGTCAGCCCTCTGTGTCGTGAACTTGTGATGGGTCACCTTCAAAGCACTGATGCTTGTAAGGGGAGGCACCTCTGCATTCCAAATCCCATCACCTGACAACCATTAAGTATAGGTTGTTACTGCTATTACAGATTGAAGCCATTTACTCAACAAAGTCAAATAAATTAGCTGCTAAGTATAACCTGGGATACAATGTTGAGGTAGGTGTTCCCCCCAAAGGAAAAAAAAAGTTCTGCTTCACTTATCCCTCACCTGTAATTGAAACTAGGTATAGGCACATGTTATGCAAAATGCAGGATTATAACCTGGGGTAGTCTGCTGTCTTAAATCAAAAGTCAAAGGCAGGTTTAATTTTTCACTCAATTGTTTCAGGAACCAGTCTTCAATGGGTCTGAGATGTTTAGTCATGATGGACAGGCAGAATATTTTTATGACAGAATAAGGATAGCTATCAGAGTAAGCCAGCTGACAGAGACTATATAGTACAACCCATTTTTGTTTAAAGAAGTGTATCTGATTTATCTGTGCATTTTTCAAAAACATTGTTTTATTATTTTTTAAAGATTTATTTATTTATGCAAACAATAACTGGGGCATAGGCCAGAGGTGTACAGGTTAGTGTGGTGGGTGGTGAGAGGATTCACCAGAGACAGAGTGGGTAGCAGAACAAGAAGATCTACTGAAATGCAGAAAATCTACTGCTGAGGGGGGGTCAGTGGAGAGACAAGAGACGTAGGCTGCACTATGTGGGTCACCTCCCTGGCCAGGGATTGAACTTAGTGCTGCAGTGGCTGCGGAGAGCTGCCACCAGAGAGGTCCATGTGCATATATATTTATGTGTCTGTATAAATATTTTACTACATTTGGGAAGGTAAATTAACAATGGTTACCTTAGGAGAGTGGAACTGAAGGAGCTCATATAGAAAAAAATACATACTTCACTAAACTTCTGTAGTAAAGTCTTTTCTAGCTTATCTGGTTCAGATACCTTCATTAATTTTCTTATTGCCCTACCGCTAAAACAAAATATTATTTTGCCCAGTCATTCATACTTATTCAGTGAAACAGTCACTATACTAAACTCCTGGGAAACAAAGATAAAAAGCACTAAGCATCTGACTTAAGAGTGTGGTGTAGTGGGAGAGGATGCTATATAAATAATTACAAGATGAACTGGAATTACAAAATCTTAAAGAACAAGAAAAATCAACCAGACAAGTGGGTAGTAAGACACTAGAGGCAGAGAGGACATTATGGCCCCAAACACTCTAAAAACTTCTGCAAGATAAAAGCATCCCCTAAAACCTTTAAAGCAGAAGAAAAATGCAGTGGAAATGAAAATGTTATTTTATACAGACCTCTCTGGAAGCTATACAGAGTACAGATTTAAGGAGACATGGCTTCAGACCTGGATTTAGTTTGATACCACACACACTTTTCTACAAAATAAGTGCCTTCATTTTCTGGAGCGTGTCATGGTTCTTAGCCCACCTTCCTCACCAACTACAACACAGATTGGAGCGGAGAGCCTGCCAGAGCCACTCCTGAAAAGTATCTACAACTCTGAGGACTTACTCTTCAACTCCACTGATTTTCCCTACAGCATTTTAGTAAAATTCTCTGCATCCTCTTTGCCTGTACCTAAGTTTGACTGAACATACCTCTGTCTGAAAACCGCACCATCAACTTTTCATACTCACAGTACTTAACCCAGTATTTGTGGAAACGAAAAAAAAGCTAACTTTGCAAAACTCGCAGATATACGTGTTTACTCCTAACCTCTCTCCCGAGGGCAGACTACACTTACCATTGTGTACTGGCATCTCACCCGACGTCCTCTAAGAACGTCACTTAACCTAGTCCAGTGGCTCCCACTACACCTCCACGCACTGCCACCCCGACAGCTTCCATCTCGCATTCTGGTATTCACCCCAACCCTCAGTCATCATCGCTGTTCACTGTCCCTCTCCTGCCGTGAACACGCCGCTGCCAGATGCTGAGTACACACATCTCATTTCTCTCCCCTTTCCACTACCTTAACTCTAGCCCTAAACTGCCTCTCTGCTCCCCCCTAGCCCCCGATCTTCCACACAACCTGCACAGTCGCTGCCAAGGTTACCTTACTCACGCGCAGATGTGCCCATCATTTTCCACTTACAGGTAGTTAGGGGCCCCGCGAAGCCTAGGATCATGGGGCTCCACCCCATGTGTATCTCACAGTTCAAGGTTGCGGGTACACTGGCACCCCATGACTTACTGAATGAATGCTCCCAGGCAAAAGCCTTCAGCAGAGCCCCACTCTACGTGCAGCAAAACGAAACTCAGCCAGCCACTGCAACCCCACGCCACCTTCCCACGCTAGCTCTCCCAGGCTGCCCCGATTTCCCTCAGTGCCTGGTAGTGAATATGCTCGCTCCGCCGGTTCGGGTCGCAGGCTCCCTTTTGCGCGACTGATGCTGAAAGAGTTCTTGCACTTGCTGAGTAGCAGAACTAGTTTTTATCTGTTTGTGTCCCGCATTTTTTTCACCAGATGGTGATGCCAGCAGAGCAGGGAGCGGGTGCCAGGTCCCCCCAAAAGGTTGGGTAACAATACGAATGAGTTATTGACTGAAGGGGTCCCCACAAGCCCGGGAGGCGGGAGAGGCAGGAAGTGGTGCACGCAGGAGGGAGGGAGAGGAAGAGTGGGACGGGCCTTTCTGGCCTTTCACCTCCTTTTTTCTATTTTTATTGATCACACCCATATACTGAAAGGAGCGTACATCATAATTGTGTAGTTCATGAATTTCCAGTCAAGCACCTCCCGGAAAGCCTTGACATCCCGGGTACCCAGATGCGCCCCACTCGCTCGCCCACGGCGTGCCTTGCCAACCTTCAAACACTGGGACATTTCCAGTCCCAGCCCGTGGCCACAGCGACGGAGCCGGACTCGCAGCAGACGCGCATGAGGTCCGGAAAACACGCTTACCTACGAACTTAAAGCGACTCATGACTGCGGTCTCGGGTCCTCCCCGGGAAGCGGAAGTGACGGCAGCTCGTCCCGCCTCCTGACCGCCAGCTTCCTGTTTCCCAGGAGGCCCCGCGGCGGCTGAAGGTGAGCCGGCCGTCATGGCGTTCTCAGCGCCGGCGGCCTACCTGACCCACCAGCAGAAGGTATTACGGCTTTACAAGCGGTCGCTGCGCCACCTGGAGTCCTGGTGCATCCACAGGTGCGAGAAGGGCCCCAAGGCCGGGGGGTGTCCCAGGGACCGCCAGGAGGCGGGGAGGCCCCGGGAGACCGGCGGTTCAAGGACTTTGGGGACGGAATGGGAAGGTGGCCCTTCGCCCCGGGGAGCCGTCCCGTAGCCCAGGGTTGGAGTCGACGTCATGGCCTGTACCTGCGAGTTGCGCGTCTGGCCCGGGCTTGAGTTTTCTTTATAGAAAACGGACGCGGGACTTGCATGAAGAGAAGCACAGGAAAGTTGTCATGCAGCCAGTGTTCACCAAATACTGTCTTTTGCATGACATTTCCGTTCCTAAAGTCTGCAGCAATAAAATGTGTGTTATCCTAAGAATTAGACATTATTTAGCCGTAGTTTACAGATGAAGATACAGAGGCACAGAGAGTATCAAAAGTTCAGACAGAACAAAAGTAAAACCAATGAAAGTTGACACAGGCACCAAAAAGAGAGTTTATAAACCTGGTGCACTCAAACCAAAGCATGGAATGAAGCTCAGAGAGGTACAGTTCTAAAGCAGCTTATGAAGGGAGAAGGCAGCGACTGTTGTTAACAGTGATTCATTATGATATTGGAATTTTTAAAAGATTTTATCCTATTTATGCATACAAGAGCTGGGGCCTAGCCAGAGGTTCAAGGAGGGTTGAGAGGATTCACCAGAGACAGAGTGGGGAGCAGAACAGGTAGATCTATGAAGCACACTGCTGAGGGGAGCAGCAGGGAGTCAGGAGAGGTCTGCCACGCCATGTGTGTCAGCTTCATGCCCAAGGATTGAACTTGCTACAGGGGCTGCAGACAGCTTCATAGCACTGAGTCAACCTAACACCTTGTACCACCAGGGAGGTCTGACAGAATATTTTTAAATGATAGAGAGTTGGCTAGTGGTGGACACATCAATTTTGGGAAATTAAGTTTTGCTTACAATTTTCAGGGGCCTAAATGAGAAATTACCTAGGTCAAGTTAGTCTTGTAAAGTTAGCTAAATCAAACTGATTCTGACAGCTTGAGGAATTTTCTGAGCTGATCTGTTTTTTTTTAGTTTAACAAGATTTAGCTCAAGGCTATACTGCTGGTAAGTTGCTGGCCCAGGAATCAGTCAGATGTTTTAACTCCCAAGCATCAGTCTCCCCCCCCACACACCAGCTCTCATGTTTAGCTTCACCCAGTCCTACCTGCACACCCCACATGATTTCCTCCTTTCCTCTGTCTGAGAGTAGTCATAAAGCAGCCTTAAACACTTTGGCGACCCAGATGAAGTGTGATAATGGGTGACAGCCCAACATGTGTGATAGCCAGTGTTTCACACCCAAATCAGAATCCCAAAATGTCCTCCTGGGAGAAAGGGTTCTGAGAAAACCTCTCGGCAGTAGAAGAGTAGGAAGAGTTGTAGAAGGCATCTTTGACCCCGTCTGCACATTGTGATTACCAAAAGGTCATTGACTCGCTGTCCTCACTGGCCAAGAAGATAGCTGCCTTAGCTGTGTGGGGTTGCTAGTTTCTTCTCTGACTTTTCCTTATTCAGTTATCTGACAGAATTTGCAATTCAAGATCTGTGCTGGATGCTGAATAAACAAAGGCTAACAAGTTCTCTTATCTGTGTCTTGAGGGTTAATAGGGAAGATGGCCATGTAGATGGATAACAAATTTATCAATCTTGAGAGGTGAAGTCAAGCCATCCGGATTGTACCTGAGAATATAGAAATAATCATGGAGGAAAGTAACTACTGTGATGATACTAATTTGGTGCTTTATAACCTCATGGACATCTTGCTTCATTGATTTGTCTTCCACCTGCCCTCATTATTGTTTTCTCTCCCTGGTTACATCCTAGGCCTCCAGCTATTGCTGTATAAGGTTGGGCAGCCTCATCTACTTCTGGGACTTGGCTACCACCTGTGTTCATATGTTTGTATTTCCAACTGTTAAATCACCTATAGTTCTCTGAGACTCAGCTTGTCTAAATTCTTTACATTTCTTTTCACTACCCAATTCTGATTCTCCCCAAAATCTCTGTCTTAATGGCATTACTAATAATTGTCACTCAACTTTAAATCCGAGAGCTGTTCCCAACGACTTCCCACTTTGACAGTGGCACATACTTTTAAGGCATGCATCAGTGGACCTTAATTTTTATAAATTTTCTCCCAGTGTCATAATACCGGTGGCCAACATTGAGCACTGAGGTGGTAGGAAGCGAGTAGATGTATTTCATCTTACCAAGTCTCGAGGACAGTCTGAAGGTACAGACACTGTTACTGCACTTGCACAGAGCCATAAGCGATATGCCTGAGCACACGGTACACAGCAGAGCTGAGATTCAGTCCCAAGCCCTGGCTTCAGTGCCACTCTCCTAACTTTGTAGCTGGCGTGTTTTCTCCTGTCTCCTGTCTGTCAGCACAATCGCCTGCTTTAGGCCTTTCCCATCGTAGCCTGCATTACTCTCAAAGCCTCCTACATGACCTCTGCCCACGGTTTCTTCTGGAACCAAACTGACTTGCCCAACATGGTGCACAGTGTCAGAGTCAGGAACCAAACCCAGGTCTGTCTGATTCAAACGATGCTGACCCACCACATGACACCTCTTCTTGACTCATCCCTGTATCTCCAGAATTTAGCCGAGTGCTTCGCACAATGCGGGGGAATCCAGGAAGCTGTCATGGAGTGGATGCTGAGCGTTTCAGCAGAGTAGATGGCCTTTCTCTTTTATAACTGTCTTTTTCCTTTTTGGTTAAGTCACCATTACTTGGGGGGCAGGGGGGGAAGGGCGCAGGAGGTATGTAATGGCGCGGTGGTGGTTAGTGTTCAGAGGGCAGCAGCGGACGCAAAGTGATGCCACTCGCCCTGGGGCCCGGGGGAAGAAGGCTCAGCCTGTAATGCTGCCCATCTCGTAGGTGACATTTCCAATTTCCAAAATCCTTTTGGTTTCAGGGACAAGTACCGGTACTTTGCTTGCTTGTTGCGAGCCCGCTTTGACAAACATAAGAATGAAAAGGACATGGTGCGAGCCACCCAGCTGCTGCGGGCGGGGGAGGAAGAGTTCTGGCACAAGCAGCACCCGCAGCCCTACATCTTCCCCGACTCCCCCGGGGGCACCTCCTACGAGCGCTACGAGTGTTACAAGGTAGGGGGGGACCACGCTCCTGCATCCCCCACGGCAGCCTGGGGTCGCCTGCTTGACGGCCGGGAGGCGTCTGACGGCTGTCCTCTTGGGGAGTCAGTTTTCTCTCTTCCAGAGGATATTTACTTTCCAGATGCAACTCTGAGGTCTTTGAGTAAGAGTTTCAGCGGGGCAGGTTGCTAAATACTTGGCAGATACTGAATGTGGACTAATTTGGATTGATGCTTAGTATTTCGGAGGAATTCTGGTTGTCATTTCCAAATGACATGAAGCCAGTCTGGTTATTCAAGAAGACAAATGGCCGACCTTGTGCTCCTCAGCATCTTGTCAGCATTATGCTGTGCACGGGGCATTCTCCTTGCTGAGCCCTGCCTGCCTTCTGTCTGAGGCGTAGTATCGGTAACATCCTGGGGCTTGCAGTGCTATAAAAGATGCACCCAGATTTTTGCCTCTCTCCTGAGCAGATGCTCTTGGTGGCATATACATGTATCATCCTGGGGCTGACACGTGACTTGCTCTCCTGCCAGGTTCCTGATTGGTGCTTAGATACCTGGCATCCTTCTGAGAAGGCAATGTATCCTGACTACTTTGCCAAGAGAGAGCAGTGGAAGAAACTGCGAAAGGAGAGCTGGGAACGCGAGGTGAGTTTTCCCTGCACTGTACCTTCTAGTGTGGCCCGTGTGGTCCACCCGTGAAGGAGCTCAGGCTTTGTCCCCTGTGGGCAGTCGTCCAGGTGCTAGCGATGTCGGTCAGCCAGGCCCCTCCCTCGCAGGTGTGCTTTGGTTCTAGGTGTGTTCACCTAGACGTTTGCAGCCCTCTCGCACCGAGCTGCAGTATACACCCGCTCTTCGGGGAGTGTCTGTTTTGAGTGCTTTTGTCCTCCTCAGCCCTTCGTCTGGCCTTGTGTACCACGATACTCTTTCAGATTCTTTTCTACCAGTCCTTTGGGCATTTTTCACTCATGATACTTGATTTGCGTTTTTTGAGCTCAGTCTGTGTAAAATAGATTGGCGGGGGCGAGCTGAATGGGGAGAGGGTTATTGCAGTAGTTTAGTCAAAAGATTACAGCGGCAACAGGAGGGTGGATTTGGAGGAACATAAAGATTGAATGGGTGGGGTGGGAGAGTTGTAGGGAACAGGAGGAAACAGAAAGGACTTCCAGGTTCTAAGCATTAATGTCTGGAGCTTGGTGGTGGTGGTGGTGATTGAGGTACCAAAGACCGGAAAAAGAAATGTCAACACAGCAGTCAGCTTCAGTTTAAATTTGCTAAATTTAACATTGTTAAATTTGAGAATCCTGGAATGTCAAGAGCAGATGTCAGTAGATGGCTTTGGATGTAGGGATAAAACACTCAAAGGACAAATTTGAACTAGAAGCAGAAATGTGAAGCCCTGGAAATATGGGAGGCCCTCACGAGGTTGTGGAGGAGAGTTGGGAAGCCCCGTGGAAGAGAGGGAAAGGAGACAGGGTGCATCCTGCTAGGGGTGGGCAGAGCCCAAAGCATGTATTTCCAGATTGGACAGGTAAAATCAGCTTTGCTGAACGTTGCCAAAATGTAGAATAGAGGACTGGGATTTTGGCCTTGACTCGAGCCTTTTCTGGAGTATCAGAGCACACTGATAAGAGCAGCAGAAGGCGAGGAAGGGAAGACAGGGAGATGACTCTGGAAGGTTTGCTGAAAACAGATTGGAGGCAGTAGGTGGAGGCCAAGACCAAGGAGTTCCTTTCTTTGACGGGAAGTGGCAGTGTACGCACGCTGGTTAGGGCAGCTGGGGGAGGAGGAGGTGTTGGAGAGGGGATGACTGAAAGGGGTTAGAGAAGAGGAACGGGATCCCGCCCATGTACAGAAGCCTTTGAGAGGTTTCTTCACTCCCTGATATTTGGACAGTGTATGTAAATATAATCCTGTCAGAAGTTTCATGATGGGAAAATGACACATTTCCTCAGATACTTTCTCCCTTTTTTGAGTGACTTAAGAGGAGAAACCACACAGTGGGCACAGCATGCATGCAGCCTGGACAGATACAATAGCCCTAGGGAAGGAGCTTGGGGGAGAGCGGGACATCGCTGTGTCACGCTGTAGGCCCACAGGAAGTGGGCACAATTCGTGTCATGGCACCAACTTATCCCAGTATTTTTATCTCAAGTAGGGGTGTAGGCTTGAAGGTGGGTGGTGCAGTTAGTCCATTGGGGCTTGAGGTTGTTTAAAGGGAGGGGCTGGTGTTGGAATCTATGCTGGACTAAGAAGGGAATAAAGGCAGGAGGTGGAGGCAGAAAAGGGACGACCCACGAAGGGCGGTCCCTGCGTTGCAAGATTCCTTTTATGGGAGCATTCAGTGGGGCTACTGGCTATTGAGAGGGATATTTAAGTTCATGGTTTTGAAAGTTGTGCTGGTTCAGGTGATGAGGCCCAGGATGGCCCTGACGGGAGTCCTGGCTTAGGTGGACCGGAAGGAAAGCCCCTGTGACTGAGGAGAGCATGTACTTTAGGGAATTCTCAGCTTGGCTGAAAGCCATGCAGCAGGTTCGTCCTGCCCTTGTTCACTGTTAGCTCTTCTCCACTCAGCTCTTCCTCCTGTGCCTCAACATTAAATGGCACGTGTGTTTGAGGCCTGGGATAGCCACAACTCAGGACGTCATTTTTCTGAAGGAAACATCAAAAATCATTGTCTTGCCAATAGGTCTTTTAGGTCTCCTCTTCTAGTGATAGTCTTGGAGAAGCATGGGTAGAACAGCAGGCAGAACAGAGGGGCATTTTCATGCACATAGAAATGTCCCAGTTGGTTATGTGGAAGGGTTTAATATTAACACCCATAACACATGTAGGCCTTGAGGTTTCTTAATGGTGCTTTTGTAGAATACTTACAGGAGACAGAAAAATGTTTGGGAGGACTCTCACAAGGGAATTGGAATGATTAATTGTGGCTTTGCATGATGAGGAGGAAGAAGGTTTCACAACTCTGCTGTTTTAAGACTGGGAGAACCTTTAAGGAGAACAGCATACCGAGCCCAAGAGCAGGTGCACGTGGAGAGGAGCACGTACAGTGCGTGACATGACACACTGGAGAAACGGCTGGCACGCCGCTAGCAGAGGCCCAGGCGTCAGCCTCACTCCTGTTCTCATTGCTCTTCCTTTGCTCCCTTCTAGGTTAAGCAACTGCAAGAGGAAACCCCACCTGGTGGTCCCAAAACTGAAGCTTTGCCCCCTGCCCGAAAGGAGGGTGACTTGCCCCCACTGTGGTGGCATATTGTGACCAGGCCCCGGGAGCGGCCCACGTAGAGGAAGGGAGGAGGCCCTCAGCCGTCGTGCTGGCAAGTGAAGAGTCAGAGTGCATATACACACTTGCCCTAATAAAACCTCAACAGTCTGCCGTGGCTGCTGTGTTCTTCTGCTAGAGGGCGCCTGGGCCGGTCTTCTTCCAACCCTGTGCTGTGAGCTCGCGCAGTTGTGCCTCCCCAGTCAGTCACACTGAAGCACGCTGCCAGCTGGGCGAGCGATGCAGCACTCAAGGTGAGGGCTTGATGAGCAAGGGGACGGAAGTAATAAATCAGAAATGAGAAGATAGGCCTGTAATGGGACTTAAAATCTTTTTAGTTTTCTAAAGCTTCCACAATGGAGCCTTAATTTGATTAAAAAGACAGCCCCACACTCCCCACACGTTGAGCCAGTGAGCAGGGGCATAGGTCATTCTCCGACCAGCAGAGGTTGGTAGCTGGTTGGGGTTCAAGGGTCCAGTCTGGGGTGAAATGGTTTGTGACACTAATTTTGGAGGCAGCTTTCCAGTTCTGCTTTATTGTCCATTGGCTTTTTACTTACAGACTCCAGGCTAAGAATAGAGCAGAACTCTTTAAAAATGGCTTTACCTTTTAAAGAAACTTCAAAAATTTAGGCTGTCTGCCAAAGCTTGCAACTTTGAGTTCTTGGTACCTCAACTGCAGTGACAGGCAGCTCGAGGCCTGGGCTCATCTCCGTCACTGAGTAACGTGTTAGGCTTCCAGGTAAGCGCAAGTTGAGTCTCATCTTCTAGCATTTGACTAAGGCGTCAAGTGAGTGTCAATGAGACTTGAAGTACAGGATGACTTTTTTCTAGTGGTTCTTTATTTATAATGTAGGCTGAAGCAACTGTTACAAGGTAGAAGGGGGAGACACATTACACAGTAGTTATTTATACAAGTTAAGAACAAAAAACTGCACAGGAGAGGTCAACTCTCATACAAACTAGCAACTAAACCACAATAATTTACCTTTAGAAACAATTCTTTATTTTTAGCTGTGACACTGCTTTTACAATATGCAAAAACACAAACAGAACTACCCAGGGTGTTTTGTCACATTCTGTCTACATTGAATTTGGCAACATTTTATATTAAATTTATTCAGATTATTACTAACGTTTAAAAACTAAACAAGTGAAAAGCTGTACCAAGGTACAGTTACATCCATTTATTTCAAAGGTTTAAAATACCACTTTTATTTATTGTGATCACCTTGCAGTGATTTCTGCTTTAGCAAAAACCATCTCAAGCGTCATATGCACAATGCATCAGCTACTGTTAGTCATCAGATTGGTGGGCTAAACCGCAGGCACTACTGTTGCTTATATTCTGTAAAAGGAGCTTGTTTTTCAAAGAAAAAAAGCTTAAATAGTTTCTAATAATCATGCCTTTGCTTTAAAGCCGGAACATAAAATGTTCTTGAGCAATCACAGCAGTGTTAAGTGTTTATATATAGAACAACAGCTATACAGGTGCGTTACTCTCACATCCAATGCAGTTATGTATTAAAGCATAAGATTATGTCACTGAAGACTAGGGCCAACAGGAGCTGCGGGGTCTGCGGGGCCCAGCAAACCATTCCTGGAGAGATTCCGTCACAAATACACACGTTCAGCTGACCCGACTGCTAAGCAGCTGGCTGTCTTCAGCACATTTGTCTTCAAGCCTACAAATCTCTGTTGGCATTAGGGGATGGGTATTATAGCAAATTTAACTTCCACTTAAAAGACATAAATCCATTCCAAAAACATTACCTAAAATCCAAAAAAAAAGGGACAGCATCATGGTCAGATTCCCAGTGACAATAAATAAATCATCCTCTCTTCAATGTTTAGTATGAAGCCAATTAACTGCCATTTATTTAAAAGAAGGTAGAAAAACAAGCCCCCAGATTGGTAAACACGTTGGCAAGTTGCTAGACTCCAAGCTGGCTACCCTTGTGAGATCCGCTTGAGTTGTTTTTTTTTTTTTTTTTTTCCAAAATATTTGGGCTTTTTAACATGCCCAGCCTGCTGGGCACAGTTAAGTAAAAGGCATTTGCTATATCTAAGAATTCCCTGCTGTCTTATTTAAATTCACATTTTAAAAAACTGCCTTATCCTTTTGGATGTATTTGGATTCGAGAAAGGTGGGTACAACAGATGAGAAACAGAAGTGTGAGGTTCCTATGCCTACCCAAGGGCGGCAGCATGCATGGGGCTGGAGGTGGGTGCTGTGTGCGGTCAAGAGGAATCGGAGAAAGGAAGTCCTTAAACACCTACAGAAACAAGCACTGCGATCCAGCATGGCTTACTCGGATGCATTTACCAGGAAGCTACTAGAAATTCAACTTACAAGGCTACTCTTAAAGGTAACAGGATTGGCTATGCTGACAGTGTGCCCCTCCCTCGGCCCGCCCCCCCAGCCCAACACAGTCTACCATTTTCCAGAATATTGCTCATCAATTGTTAGTCCTGCTCTTTTCATCCAGAACATAGAATTGTAAAGGAAGATTTTACCCCTTATCCCCTTATTTCTTGTGTGTACATTAAAATAACTTGAATTTGCTTCTAAGCCAGACTACTACAATGCAGCTACAAAAGCTTGCAGAAAAAAAGAGAAAAGAAAAAGTACAGTTATCCTTTTTCTGAAATTAACTACTTCGAGATTCCCTATCCCAACCCCCCTCCCCTTGCATTTAAAATTTTACAAAGACTTGTAAAAAAGTTAAATGGAATTTGGCACCTTCAGAAAAATCAAAAGGGAAACTAAGATTAAAATGTGCAGAAAGAAAACTGTCAGTATTTACAAATTAAAAGATCAGGATTATGTCAGTTACATATGTAGCTTTTAATTCTTATCTAAAGGTGTTGAGTACTTTCAAAAGAGCTGTATTCTCGGTTGGCCTACAAAATCTCGTTTGATCACAGATTGGAATGGATCGCGACGAAGCAGGTCTGAGTAGTGAGGCAGCTCCCCCTGGCGGCGTCGGGGCGTGCCTAGGAGAAGCGAGGGGCTGAGCGGTCGTTCGTCACGGTCTTCTTCAGTTTCACGCCCCTTCGGATGGCGTTCAGCATGTCTTCTCCTTGCGGGCTATCTCTGGGGCTCAGGTCTGCAGGGTCGCCCTCTGGAACCTGGCCGGGGGCGGCGGTGGCACTTGCGGGGTCCCTTTCCTGGTCTTCAGCCTCGCTTTCTGGAATCGCCTGTCTGTGTTCCTCAGGGATACTTGGCTTCAGGCCTGGAAGAGGAGGGTTGACGGAGGCTCGGCCACTCCACATTGAGGAGGGCATGCTGGTGACACCTTGGGGGCCCTCACCCACAGATGGAGACTCGGGGCTGTGCTCACCCCGCTCCTCTGCCCCGTCTGGAGGGGCAGGCAACACCCCAGGGAGGTCTGGGACGGTCGGGGTCTTGACAGGGATCACAGGCGTCTTGATGGGGATAGGAGCAGCTCCGATGGTCCCCCGGCGGACAGAAGGCTTGGTGGAAGGGGTCCGTCGGATGGTTGCAACCCCTGGGGTGACCACAGCAGGTCCGAGGGTGGTGGGGAGGCCAGCAGTTGAGGCTGGGCGCTTGGCCTGGAACATCCGTCGGTAGGACTGGCTGATGTCGCTGTTTCTCGGGATGGTGGAGGATTTGTCAAACTCCTGCTGATCTGCTTCCTGATCACCACTTACAGAGAAATAATCATAATCTGAAACTGATGAAAGGGCTTGATTAGAGAGCGCCAAGGCACCAGCTTTGACTTCTGATTCTGTTGCGCAAGGGTTTTGCCCTGTCTCATCCCAAGCCTCCCCCGGGGGGTCTGTGCTGTCTTCAGTGCCGTCCCTCGAGCACCCGGGTCAGCACTGGGCACAAGAAACACTCAAATACCAATCAGAGGAGAAGGCAAAATGGTCAGGCTGCTGCCAAGCTACCTCTGAGCAGCTCTTGGGGGGGGGGGGGTGTGGGATAAGATCAATTTGGATCCTCAGGCCAGAACTGGACGCGAGTGAGGAGCCTCCAGCAATGTAGCCTCGTAATTAACTGGTCAGGGAGGGCCAGACAAGGAGCGGAGTGGCCAGTGAGGCCCTAGCGACACAGCGCCAAGACGGGGCCCGCACTGATGTGCGTGCACTTCCCTGAAAAGGGGTCACCTGGGCAGCACCACTGGACAGTACATCAGATCAATTGTCGGGGGCTGTGCTGTCTGCCTGGCAGCTACCAGATGTCAGCAGTACCCCATCCAGAATGATCACAAATGTCTCCAGACACGGCCCCAGGAAGCCTAAAGGTCCTCCCCGAAGACTCGGAGATTTTGGCCGGCCATTCCAGGTGCATTCTTGCTGTTAAGGCTGCTACTTGCTTTACTGGGGGGTCGGGGGTGTGTGGTGAGAAGAGGGAGTGGGCGTGAGGGAGGCAGGTCGATTAAGGCATTCGCTGAAACAGGCTCAGCCTGGACTTGAGACTCCCTGCAGAACGTAGGCTCAAACTGCAGCTCCACTGCTTTCATTGGAAATCAAGACCAACCAAGGAACTCCAGTTTCCACAGATATAAAAGGGGGCAAAGATATTTATCACTGAAGTGACTATGAAGATCAAATGGGCAAATAAAGGCTAACACACGAATGATCTGCCTCAGTTCAAATGGGGAACTACCCTGTGTACCCCAGGAGTGGAAAGCCAGGAAGTGAGGGGCTCACCCCCCTAGCTGTCCCCTACGTGACCAGGCAAAGCACATCTTCAAAGCATTCCAAGAGGATGAGATGCTTTCATCCAGGGCTTGCAGGGGCTTACGGGGCAGGTGAAAGGAGTCCTCCCCTGAGGAGGGGCACCCCCACCTGAACTGCTCAGGAAATCCAACCGTGAACCCCAGTCTGCCTCGTACCTTGGGAGGGGATGGTGTCCTCGGAGCAGCATGGGGTGGTGGTCTGGGTGCTGTAGCCGCTGGAGCACTGCAGCGAGTCCCGGCTGCTCCTCTGGGTGTCCAGCTGCAGGCCCCGGGCCAGGGCCAGGGCCAGCTCCTCGCAAGCCTCCATCTCCTCCCCAGGCTGCAGGTCGGAGGAGAGAGACCCCCCCAGCCATGACCCCCGGGCCTCTCAGACGGGTGTGTGTGTGTGTGTGTGTGTGTGTGTCAGTGTCACTCCTGTCAATACTCCCTGTGGGGTTCTACCCAGGCTCTACAAAATTCTTCTGTCGGAGCCCACATTATTCCCCTCTTTTCTCCCTGGGTGGGGCTTTTCAAATGCATGGGGAAGGGGAGGGGTTAGGACCCTCCGGGTGCAGGGCTGACACCAACACCCGGCTGGCCACTCATGGGTACCAGTCAGGTGTCCAGAGGGCCTCGGTGGCCACAGGGAGCAGGAGCCTCACCCTGGCAGCAGCCGACACGGTCATGCTCCGTGGTCTCTGAGCCTCTTCGGCAGCTGCGGGGACGCCACCCATGGCAGCGGGCCCTCCGCCACTGGGGTCCGGCTCCCGCTTCTCCTTACGGCGCTGGAGGGTGTTCACCAGAGGCTGATCGTAAGGTCCTGGCTTGGCCCAGTCCTATAGAACAGGGTGGTCAGCAGAGGAGGCTCCGCCTGAGTGGAGGCGGAGAGCCCTCTACGCAGCCACCCCAGAAGGCTGGGGCTGCTTAGCTGGGGAAGCCAGTGGACCCCTTCCTGCCCTCACCCACTCAAAGAAGGGAGTGGGAAAGTCTTTAGGGCCCCTCTGGGACCACCCCTTTCCTTCTATCTGTCCCCAAATTAAAAGTTCTCAACAGCCAGCCTGTGAGACTTATTTAACAGCCGTCTAACTTTGGAACTACGATCCAAGGTTCTAAAGGCAGAGCACAGCCCCAGGGACCAGGCCCACCCTTCAGATGACTAAAGGAACGCTTCCTGAAACAGCCCTAATGCCGGCACTTCAGCAGTGGCCACCAGAGGGCACTGAAGGACCCTCACCTGCTCCCTGAGGCTGAACTTCTCCATTGCAAGGAAAACCCGCCCCAAAGGGCCCTGTAAGATGTGGCCTCTGGGCCCACATACAGGAGGCGAAGGCCTCTGGGCCAGCAGACAAGTTGGGGAGTCAGGGGTGCACACTGCCTGGGCGGGATGAAGCCGAGACTAGGGATCTACTCTTCAAATTAGGGACTCTCTCTCAAAACAGGATGTCCTTCCTCCTGGCATCAACTGGACTTGCCAGGAGGTCGTTTCAAAAATATGCTTTTGTATTAAAGCAAATACGCTTTAACGTGAAAAAGGCTGCATGTACTTCTAAGATAAAACATACTGTGTTTGATAAAACATACTTGGGGTTGTGGTTCTGCTACCATGGCCCAGTAAGGGACTCATTAGGGGGAAATTTAGAGAGTGTGGCCAGGGAGGACAGTCCCTCCAGGCCACCCCAGGGGGGAAAAACGGGAGCTTCAACTTCAAACTGAGAGCCCCACAGAGCCACATCTGGGTCTGTCTACTCTCCAGCAGGACCCCACTAATATCCCTAAAGGGAGCCTCCCCAATTTCAGCTCCATGTGGAAAGTTCTACCTCCGATATGCCTGCAGCCTTTTCTCCCGAGCAGGCACTTACTTAGGGAGAGGTGTTATGGGGAAGAAGGCAAAGTGTGAAAGGAGGAGGGTGAGGGGGACCAGGGTCAAGACTGAGGGACAGAAATGGGGTGAGCACCGAGGCAATGAGAGGGGAGGAGGGAGGAGAGAGGAGAGGAGAGACACAAACCTTCCAGCTAGGGATTTGAGATGACGGGAACATGCCGGGCCCGATGGTGTAATAATGAGCGTAGTCTGGAAGGTGGGCAGAGGTGACCCGAGGGAGCAGGCGGGAGGCAGGCAGGCAATGAGGGGAAAGGCTTGCCCCCACGGGCCCCCCATGGGACTCACTTGATAAACTATAGTGAGAAAACCCGTTAGACAACTGGAAACAAAACAAAAAAGGGGGAAAAGGAAAAAAAAATTAATAAAACAGGATGAATGTGGAGATACAAGATGGCATTGACATTCAAAGGGGGGGGGACCCGGACACTTATAAATAAATAAAACAAGTTGGGGCCCTGCTGCTCAGAGCTGCTCATGCTGTGCATGACCCTGGTGCCGGAGCGCCAGCGTGCAGTGGGCACAGCGACACCAAGGGGCATTCGGGCCAGAAACGGCTCAGCTGCAGTTTTAGCCTCGTTTGGGAACTGCCCAGCGTCCTTGTTTGGTGGCGTTTGACGGTTTTTAACTGATGAAACACAACTCCATGGCAAGAGCGATTTCTTAGCTCATTATTCAGATTTCCAAGTCCTACATCATTTTCAACTGATTCTGTTCGTGCTACGGTTCTAACATCATCACACCCAGGAGCGGACTCCGAATCCGGGGAGGGCGCGAGGGGGCTCGCAACCGAATGGCAGAAGAGCACACAGCCTGGGACATGGTGAAATGTCACGTCCAACGTTATGGAACAGGGAGGCCACGGTAGAAGGGTACTTGGGAGGGGCAGGGGATGTGCGGGCACACAACACTCGTCCGGGGAGCAGGGGAGAAGCCTTCACACAGCCGAGTTCCCCATACTGCCTCCTTGCCCTCGGGAGGGGCCCCAGGTCACCCCCAGGCAGCAGGAGCCAGGCACCTTGCAAGAAAAAGCCCTCAGCCTTGTCCTCCCCCTGTCCCCAAGAGGGGGCGCTCTGCTAGAGGCTGAGCTTCCCGGGGCGGGGCTTGCGCTTCCCGGGGCGGGGCTTGCGCTTCCCGGGGCGGGGCTTGCGCTTCCCGGGGCGGGGCTTGCGCTTCCCGGGGCGGGGCTTGCGCTTCCCGGGGCGGGGCTTGCGCTTCCCGGGGCGGGGCTGCCTGCCGGACACGCCCCCAGCCGGTCACCTTCTCCGTGGACGCCCAGGCGCCCATGGTGGAGCCTGAGCTGACCGAGCTGGGCGAGCTGCACTCGCTCACTGACTGGCAGGTTTCAGAGGCTTCAGAGGAGGCCGAGCTGGACGAGTTCTGCAGCGGGGTGGGGGTGGGGGGGCACACGAGGGGACCAACAGAATCCAGATCACACGCCACCGAGAAATAACAATAAATCAAAAAGAAGAGATGAGGGGCGGGGGGGGGGAAGGGCACGCACAGAGACAGACATACACAGAAGAGGGAAGGATGAGAGAAGCAGAGAGTTAGGGTTATTCTTCTTCCCAAAGCTACCCCTGCCTTCAAGCTCTGGGCAAGAAGCGGGAGGCCCCGTGGGCTGCAGACGCCCCAGGCCCCGGCGGGGGCGCGCGGCCCGGACAGGGCATGCGGTCAAGGGTGTTCCGCCCGTGCGAGGCGGCAAGCGCCATGTGCGGCCGCCTGGGCTTGGCCCTGGGTGCGCCAAGGGGCGCTCCAGTGCCTGGCCTCTCCCTTCCTCTCACATTGCCTGCGGCCCCGGGGAGGTTTCAGCTGTGAAGCTGCAGCTTCAGGAGACAGGCTCTTAAGCTTGTCTGCCTGAGGAATGATGCCGAGATTTGGGTGGTTGGCACATTGCTTCCTGGGGGTCTTTATTAAACTTCGGCCACCAGGGGGCTCCCAGTGCCACCAGCGGGCTCCCAGTGCCACCAGGGCACAAGCATGTCCAATATCTAGTCCTGGACTGGCCCAAAGGCCAAACCAGGAAGGATGGGTGACATTGACCATCTCTTCCAAGTAAATGCACCCCCATCCACCCAGGGTTCTGACTCCAGCTCATGGGGGTTCTTGCTCCTCATTCTGTTCCACTGTCAAGGGCCAGCTGGCTCAGCCCAGTCTGTTTAAATAAGCCTGACGTTCCTCTGCTGTCACCTCCTCAGAAGTGTCCCTGCGTGCAGTCAAGGAGGCTAGATTCATGCTGCTGTTCACCCACTGCACAGGGACAGAGCTTTAGTTCGGAGTAAGGTGCCACAGAGACGGGCCAGCAGCTCAGCCCGGCGGGCTGCAGCGAGCACAGGCTGCCCCAGGCTCCACGTTTGATGGTTTGGGGTTCGGACACGTTTTTGCAACTTCTCAGTGCTACGTGGCTTCGTTTACAGCCGTTAACGCTCAGCGGAGAAATGAAGGGCCCTGCCCTGAGTCTCCCTTTCTCCCGCCCTAAGTAGTGGCCTACGTGACTTGCACACCTTCCTGACATTTCCCCTCTACCTATAAGCAGCTGTAGAATTCTTTTTAAGAATAGAACTCTGAATTCCGCAGCAGCCCTGGACTTAGGAGACTACTCAGGAGCTGCTAGCCTGGCATCATCTTGGGCTCTGGCTTCAGACTGAAGTCCACCACACCGGGCAGAAATACTGGCATTGCTGCTGCACTGTCTGGGGCTGAAGCTCACGGCCATTTTCTTTTTAAGGGAGTCAGCACACAGCCCTTTGTTAGTCTGTCAGTTGATTTAAAATGCACACAGGATTATGCTGCATGTTAGAACAGCTTTGGTGAATGGTAAGGTCGTTTCCGCCCACCCAGGCACACACACAGCTTACGAGACTCACAAGTATGTGTTAGTGCTGTGCAGGCTGAGGGCAGACAGGTCGTGCCACAGACAGCAAGCTCGAGCACCCCAGCTGGGAGCGGCATGTTAGAGCCAGACCCAGAGAGCTCTGGCTCCTGGCTTCAACTGAGTAGCTGTCCCAGGAGGCAGAGCAAGGACACAGCCCCCTGGACGGCTGGAACGGGCCAAGGGGAGTGAGTGGCTGAGCCAGGAGGTATGGGCTTTGCCAACCTCAGGTCAGGTGAGTACTTCCTGGCCCAGACTCCCCCCAAAAGCTCAGATGCTTCCTCACCAAAAAGTGCTCTTTCAAACTCTCTTAAGGGTGCCTTCCAGCGGAGGAAGAGCAGGAAGGGCCCTGGACCAGCTGCCAGAAACGCTGTCCTAGGTCCCCAGCCTGCAGGCACTGCGGCACTTACGCCTCTGAGCCTCCACTTCCGCGACACAACTCTGCGTTTTTGTTGGCAGGACTGAGCCGTGCAGAGGCTCCCAGGAAAATGCCTGCCACACAGCAGAGGTTCAGACTGTGTGGCACACTCATCACCTGGATGAACAGGACAGGCGTGTGCCCCATCCCAGGGGAGCGGGTCCCAACCCCAGGCTGTGGTCAGTCTCAAAACGCGCGGCCGGGCTGGAAGCTGCCGGCCTCCCAGCAGCCGGCGTGATGGGCCCCGGGCGCTGGAGGCTGTGCTGCTTTTCCACCGGCACCGGCAGAAAGAGGCCAGAGGGAGCAGCGGGCGGGTGCCCCGTGCTCCGCCCAGCTCCTGCTTCCTCTGGGTGGGCTGGGCTGGGGGGCCTGGTGCCATCTACCCCCCACCCCTCTGCGCCTCCCCTTCTCCTGGAAACAAAGTGCCAACGGGACGGTCTGCAAAGCTTCTGCTGCTCACTCTTTCTCAAGAAAGCAATACCAAGTTGAGGGAACGCCAAGGACGGTTCTCAGGCAGAGTCCCATGATGGAATCGTTATCAGTAAGAGGGAACCGGAGGCTGGCAGAGGTGGCTGTCACCGTCTGCCGGTACCTGTACAGCTGGTGTCACGCTAACCTGGGCCTTGACAGGGGCGGCCAGGGAGCAGCCAAACCCGTGTGAGGCCGTCGACTGACACGTGAGAACTCCCTCAGATCAACACGGTGACTCAACCGTCACCACCACGGAGACGAGCCTCAAACCCAAATTATCGCATCTCCTTTTGGGGAACAACCGAGCCGACAGTGGGAAATTGGCAGAGGTTTCTGTTGTCACAAGAGGGGTCTGTCCACATCGGCCACCGACGGTCGGGGTTGCAGGGGCTTCAGCCACCGAAGCGCTCAGGACACCAGCACCACAGCCGCGCCTGGAAGCGAGGGCGCCCTTACCTGGCTGGGGGCCTCTGGCGGCATGGGGGACGGCGACTTGGACTGGAAGGCGTCCTGGGACATGAACCCTGAGTCGTGGGAGGACACGCTGGAGAGCCGCACGGGCGCCTGCTGGGCCAGGTTGGAGCTGCGGTAGCGGTAGTGGGAGCTGGGGGAGTGAGAGTGGGAGCCGCTGGACCGGGAGTCGCTGCTGTTGACGCTGTTCAGGCTGCTGCAGGGCACAAGCAGAGGTCGCCGGCATGGAGGGTAGAGAAGGGTGGCACGAGGCAGGAGGAGAGCAGAAACCGAGGGGCAGAGGCAGGAGGGAAGCACAGCGCAGAATGGGCTTTCGAAGCCCAAGCACTAAGCTGGTAAACAAAAGGTTTTCCCGTCCACTGGGGGAAGACTCAGCCACCAGGAGCCAGCTTTCCGGCCGTGCCCGAGTGGAAGCCTGTGGCACTGGAGTCAAGCGCCTCGTGCCACCTGCCTCAAAGCTAGGGGACTCTGTCCCAGGCATGGAAAGAGACGGGGTTATTGTATCCGCTTGTCTGTAAACTGAAGCTACAAGGTGACCCAGATGGAACGTGCAAGTGTCTCCTGAGCTGGGCCATCTGGGGCCAGGTGACAAAGGGCACCCAGTCACCAGGTCTGGGGGTGCAGCAGCCAATGAGGCCTCAAGATTTCCCCCAGGGGAGTGTGTTTCAAGACCACGGTAAACCAGAACACCAGCTCATGAGCTGTGTTTGTGTCAACCCAACCTCTACTAACAAAGGCGACACTTCCGTGAATGGTCTTGTCCTGACCACAGGTGTTTTCCCATCAAAAAGATCAGGGCGCATATACCAG